CATGATGATGATGTGATGGTATGTACGATGAAAGACCAATGTCTTCTTGTGAAGAAAAGCGATGAAAATGATGGAAATCAGATAGACATGTTGGAAAAAATTAGAAAGTTAAAATTACTGTGCTAGTTGAAAAAAAGGTAAATGATAACAATAGGGTGAATTATAGAAACAGGGATTGAAAAACGTTAACCTCCGTATACCGTCTCACCTATAATGACAGGGATAGACACTTAAATAACATTAATGTATAAATTCACTTGGGATATGGTAAGAAAGACTCACTTGTGCCAAATACAATTATAGGTTAAAATGTTAAATGTTTTTTATTGAGTTTTTGTAACTCACTCTTTTATGTCTTATATGACAGAAAATTCAAGAACAAGTTCAAGACCGAATAGGGCGATGACAGGATCCCAAAACATATGGGAATTATCCAATCTACAGTTAAGATGAACTCAATTTTTCAAATTACGAAATATTATCTAATTTAGTAAATAAAGTGATCTTTCATAAAATTATTTTTAGAGTCTGTATTTTGTTAGATGTCAAGGACTAAATATTTAATTATAATCATAATTATATTTTTTCGGGTCGTTACATAAGATTCATAGATTTGGGAGACTAATGTTTTATTAATTGATGCTTTGAAAGTTGATCTGGTCACCAGTCACACACGAAACAAGCTTCCTATATATAGATATATATATATATATATTGAAATTTTGGGTTTGCTAATAATTAGTTAGTTTTTTTTTTTTTTTAAGAATTAATTTGTAATTGGGTACTAATGAACTATCTAACTTACTTTCTTTACACTCAATTGATTTCTCTCTTTAATCATATCAATAATTCATATCTTTATCCAATCAAAAGTAATATGATAATTTATACTAAATACATTATTAGAGTTAGGATTTAAAAATTCTGGTTCTTATTGAAAAATTGAATCAGATCAAACTAAATATGTGTTTAATTCGATCTCGGTTCCTAAATAGATGAACTAAATTTTTGGTTCATACTGACCCAATGTCAATATAAATTTATATAATAGTTAAGAAAACTTAAAAACTTAAAGAACTCCAAGTTTTTAAGCCCCCATTCCACGCACCTCTCAGCCTTAGTCAAGAAATTTACCACTTAAATCCCCTCTTTTTTGATTGTTTAAGCAAAATTATTTGTCGTTTTATTTTATTTGTTTTGTCGTTTTGAGACGAACTTAAACACAACGTGTTCCGGTGGGTGTTCGATTCTTTCTCTTGCTTTTGAGGTTGTTGGTGGCGGCCGGTCCTAAATTTTTTCCCTTTTGTATTTTTATCTGCAATTGATTCCACATTTTACTAACTAATATTTTTCTTTCCCAAATTCTTTATTTTATTTTTTTCAACAGTTAATGTAATAACTTAACGGTACTATATAATAATTAATACTATTTAGAAAACCATAAGTCTTAATAATTTATATGTGATTAAAATTCAATAATTAGCTTATCAAGCGCGCCAAAACTAAATTTAAAAATATATAATTTTAATTATAAATTACCCGACACCAACCTACTATTACAAAACATTAATCCATAATTACAATTAAGAAACACAAAAACTAAGTGGTCAAACTTGGTGTATAAAAAATAGAAATAAATTGAATTAAAAAAAATAAACAAATTGGGATTTTCAAATAATTAAAAGTGGGTTCCATAAAAAATAATCAATAGTGGCAACTGCGTGCCAGTGACCGTTGGGCTTATAGTCAGCCAGGGCCAGCATTCTTGACCAAATTGATTTTTCCTTTTTTTTAAAAAGAACAATTTTGGTTTTTAGTAGTCAGCAAAATTGACTAAAATTTAATCTGATATCCATCGAATATGATACGGCACCGTGTCATTGTCAAATTGGAAAATTAAGTGCGAACTTTTTCATCTAATAAATCCCAATCTCCTGATAGGTTACAACATTTATTCTCTCCTTTTTGTTACAAAAAAAAAAAAACTTAACCTTTATAATATAAGTTAATTACTTTTAATTTTATCTTCTAATGATTAATTAACTACTGCCTACTTTACCATGTGGTAGTGTTACTAAGAATAATTTTGAAAAGTTTCATGAATTCTATAAAAAAAAAAAATATGGTCGGGATTTAAATTGTTATGATTATTTTAATTAAGAGAACTTAATTATTTTAAAATATTATTTTCTTCTATAACTGTAATAAATTCTTTAAAACTAAATTTAATTTATTAAAATTTATAATTTAATACGTTAATAAATTAAGTTATTGATTCAACTAATTTAAATATTATAAATCAATCATCTTTAATTTATAATGCAAATAAAAGTAATTAGCTCCATAAAAATAATAGTATTAACCACTAAATTATTGTATTGTTATTAAAAAAAACTAACATTGTAAATTGAATCAATTTATTCTAAAAATTATAAACATCTATTTAAAATACATTAATAAAGAGTATAAGATTTATAAACTCATTTGTATTCTTAACATATCAAATAACTTTTTTATTTGCTAATTCCAACTTATACCCTTAACTTGCATTAGCAAATTCCCATATTAATCTCAATTTTAACATTTATTACAGTTTAATTTTTACTTTTTTTTTTTTTTTTTTTTGGTTATAATACGTATGGTTTATAAGCTTTAATTTACCTTGAGAATCTCATTAATATCAATTAAGGATTAATTAAGGGTTGTTGATGAGGATGCCTGCTAGCGGCAGCTTAGCTAATTTTGGCTTGGCTGTTGGCAACTTTCCTTAATTTGTTTTTATTTTACTATTATAATCCACTCCATGTGATAGTAGGTGGCAAGTATTATTGTTATATTAATATTATTATAATTAGCTTACTTTATTCTGAAATAATTTTTAAATCTAAAAGGCATAATAAATATGAATTTATATAATTAATCAAAAACTTTGTTATAATACTGGTGCCAAAAATAAAACATAAATTATATAAAATTGTGAATTTATGGTACGTTCCCACACACACACACACATATATATATATATGGACATGACGAAAACATCTAATCCAAATAATTGCATGTTTTAATCAAATATAATAAATATATATGTGATGTCATTCTGATGCTTAAAAACGATATATATATATATATATATAATGTCTGAATAATTCTGAACCTTATTTATATTATTGGGCAGTAAGAACATATTACTTTTGTGCCAAAATTCGTTCGTAAAAATTTAATGGCTCCCCTTAAAACTCTAACTAATTAATTAATTAAGGTGAAAATAAGAACGCCCAGAAATATGAAATGGTAAAATGAGATCTTCAACCGTTCTAATGTCTAACCATGAAAGATACTTGTTGGAGATATTTTAAGGTCTCCTATCAAGAGATCTTCACATTTTACCTTCGTATACATATGTATGTATAACTATGTATGCCGTACGTATATAAATATGTAATTTTTTTATTGGTTCATTCATCACTTAATCAATAAAATTTATAAATTTTTATTAAAAAGTTTACATAAAATATACGTGAATTTGAATAAGATTGGTCAAAAAAAAAAAAAGAAAAGCTTATTTTAGTGATATTAAATCGCATGAATTAATTCCTAATCCATGCATAATTTAATCTAATAATTAATTTAAAATGAGGAAGTAACTAAGTGGGCAGTTCCAAATCATACAAAACCGAGTTAAAATAACAATAATAATAAACAAATAAATAAAGGAGAGAGCACAGTTTAGATCGGCCAACTAGTATATAAAACGCCCGTATATCCCATCTTCACAGCCAGCAAGATCTCCGCATACACATACATATACACAAGCTCAAATGGATTCTCTCCTCAATTCATTCACCCACCAACCAGTAACCATGTCCTTCTTCTTCATTGTCCCGTTACTCTTAGTCTTAGGTCTCATTTCCCGTCTTCGCCGGAAGCATCCATTCCCGCCGGGACCCAAAGGGTTACCTCTCATCGGCAACATGATGATGATGGACCAGTTGACTCACCGTGGTCTCGCCAAACTCGCTAAACGGTACGGTGGTCTCTTCGGCTTAAGAATGGGCTTCTTGAACATGGTGGCGGTTTCCTCGCCGGAGGTGGCTCGCCAAGTTCTCCAAGCTCAGGACAGTATCTTCTCCAACCGCCCGGCCACCATAGCCATAAGCTATCTCACTTATGACAGAGCTGATATGGCGTTTGCCCACTACGGTCCCTTTTGGCGGCAGATGCGTAAGATTTGTGTCATGAAGGTTTTCAGCCGCAAGAGGGCGGAGTCGTGGGCGTCGGTGCGGGAGGAAGTTGATAAGATGGTCAGGACCGTGGTTGCCAACACCGGCAAGACCGTTAACGTCGGCGAGCTCATCTTTTCCTTGACCCGGAACATTATTTACAGAGCGGCATTCGGAGCCTGCTCTGAAGACGGACAAGACGAGTTCATCAAGATCATGCAGGAGTTCTCCAAGCTTTTCGGCGCGTTTAACATTGCAGATTTTGTTCCATATCTCGGGTGGGTAGACCCACAGGGCCTCAATATCCGACTCGTGAAGGCCCGTCAGTCACTCGACGGATTCATCGACTCCGTCATAGACGAACATATCCAGAAAAAGAAGAACGGCAGCAACCTCTCCGACGACGACGCTGACACTGACATGGTCGACGAGTTACTCGCCTTTTACAGCGAGGAGGCTAAAGTCAACCAATCAGACGATCTTCCAAACGCCATCAGATTCACCCGGGACAATATCAAAGCCATCATCATGGTAAACACAAAATCACTAACCCAAATTAAAGTTTAAAAATTTTTTTAAATATAAATTTATATATTTATATAACGAAGAATAATTTTGGGCGATGCAGGACGTAATGTTTGGCGGGACAGAGACAGTGGCATCAGCCATAGAGTGGGCATTGTCGGAGTTGATGCGGTGCCCGGAAGAGCTGAAACGGGTACAGCAAGAGCTTGCGGACGTAGTGGGTCTTGATCGGCGCGTGGAGGAGAAAGACATGGAGAAGCTCACTTACCTCAAGTGTGTCATTAAGGAGACACTACGGCTCCACCCGCCAATCCCTCTACTCCTCCACGAAACCGCCGAGGATGCCGAGATCGGCGGCTACGTCATCCCCAAAAAGTCGCGTGTGATGATCAACGCATGGGCAATTAACAGAGACGCCAAGTCCTGGGAAAATCCCGACTCATTTAAACCTTCAAGGTTCCTGAACCAGGGAATGCCCGACTTCAAAGGCAGCAACTTCGAATTCATTCCGTTCGGGTCGGGCCGGAGGTCGTGCCCGGGAATGCAGCTCGGACTCTACGCATTGGAGCTTGGCGTGGCGCATTTACTCCACTGCTTCACCTGGTCCTTGGCCGACGGAATGAAACCGAGCGAACTCGACATGAACGATGTGTTCGGACTCACCGCGCCCAGGGCTACTCGACTCATGGCCGTACCGAGTTCCCGCCTGATTTGTCCTTTGCACTGAGAACGGGATAAGGGAAGATGAGGTTGAGAGAACGGGACGGTTTCGATTTGAACATGCGGCAGGGTGACATGTGATATAGGTGAGTCGCCCTGGAGAAAGTGAAAAAATAACTGGACATAGAAAAATCGTAAAAACTGATGGCAGAAGCGGAAGATCCGAGCCGTTGATAAAAGTTGATCATTTGTATTATTTTGCATAATCTGGAGATTAAACTTACTCTATGATTTTTTTTTTTAAATTTTTTATCCTTAAAAGTATCTGTAATAATTAATAATATTTTGTTTGGAAATCAAATTTTCATTAGTGGAAAATAGAAAAAAAATTAATTTTTAATTTTTAATTTTTTGTCCATAAAAATATAACATGATAAAATATAATTTGGAAAAAATGGAACCACAAACTATTGTCATTGAGGATTTTCAACATATATATATGTGATATTTTTCAACTTATAAACATATTTAATTAGAAATTAATTGTCAATTAAATTTAAATTTTTGAATCGATCAAACTTATGATTTAGACTAACAACAATGCCATAATGATTTTCAATAGAAATTGAGCATAATCAAACAGTTAATTTACATAATAATCAATGACTATCTCAAGCAATTATTTTAATTAAATAAATTATGAATTATTTTTCTAAAGTGACTCTTTCAAAATATGAGTAAAATAGTATAATGTAATGCCCTTTTTTTTTTAAAGGGCGTAGTCTAAGATAATTCCGCGACTACACACGAAAGCGTCATTCCAAATCTACTACAAATATAGAAACCTTACCGCAAATCTATACTCAAAATCACAATAAATCTGTAACCC